AAAAAGCAGAAAAAAAAAAATTTGGTTTCGGTAACAAAAAATAAAAGACAAAACCCCCCCCCCCCCCCCCCCCCAAAAAAAAAAAAAGACGAGCATGAGGAAGAAAAAAAAAAGACTGAGAGATAAAAAGGGGGCTTGATAGAGTAATGGCGGAAGGCGGTCGATTTACTCACCAGCTCCGGCAGAGAACTGAATCACGGCTATGACAATTGTGTCCTTTTTAGAGAAGAGGTCTAAAGGCAGCATAGGTGACTGCTGTGGAAACAGCCGTGCTACTATCCTGCCATCGGACAGCAGGAATTCGTAGAGAAAGAACACAGGCAGCAGAATTCCACCGACGATGATGAGCACCAGGACCTGTACAGAGTCCCACGCGAAAGTGTTGCCTCCCCAAGAAGTGCCGAGAATAATGAGGCCAACGGCAACAATGAATAAAACGACGCCGCCTATATCGAGAGTTGCCAAGGCTGGGAAGATGGCGGACCATGTCGAGCCCTTGTGGAAGTGGGTGCCCTCTAGCAGCTCGTTTCGGAGAATGAAAAAGAGGAGGATATGGGATACCACGGCAATCTGAGAGGTTAATCCTGTCGAATTATGGAGAGGAAACTAGCTATAACGCTTCAGTAGGTACTTACTGGGATGGAAATTACAAAGACATATCTCCAATTTGCCTAGAATCATGTTGTTAGCGCTGGTGATCAGGCCTAGGGTTTGACATTAGAGCATCCGCAAATCTCATACATCTGTCAAATATCTGCAAATGAGAAGAGGTCAGATTGATATTGGAGGCATATATGGTGGACAACCAATGATAATGGCTTGCCAGGTAACGGGAGTCAGGAAGCAGGGGCAATCACTTACCCGCCAATCAGCGGACCAATGGCATATGTGCTACCGGACACGATGGTGAAGAGAGTGTTATTCTTTGCATTTTCCTCCAAGGTGACTTTATCAGCCAAGACGACAAGAATGATGCTGCTCAGCCCAGCCGAAGACAGCCCCTGCAATGCGCGGCCCAGCAGCAGCATGCTCCATGACTGCGCAGCGGCGCAGAGCACACTGCCAATCACGGTAAAGAACAGTGCTGCTTGTAATGAGATGTGTCGACCAAAGACGTCTGCGAGCTGGCCGTAGAAGGGGATGAAGGCTGTCGAAGTGAGCGTGTAGGCGGTGACTATCCAGTTGAGCTGGTCGAACTTGTCTGCACAGTATGTATGTATCAGCAAAAGGCAACAAACAGCAGCGATAATAATAACGAAAAGAGACCATGGTGTTGATGTTGCTGGCAAATGCGGGTTGGGCAATTCACTTACGGAAATGGGACGCGATAAAGGGCAAAGCTGTTGCGACGACGGTCAGATCCAACGATGCCAGGAAATACGGCAGCACCAAGCCTTCAATCAGCTTGATTCGGTACTTTTTGCTGCTACGCTCGGGCTTCTTTGCGCAAGTGCAGGCCTGTGTATTCTCTCCCTCCAGGGGCTCCATCATAAATGAGTCCATCAAGCCAGCGGCATCTATTTGGGAGACGTCGTGTCGAGGACACCATTTGGCTTCATTGTCTGTGAAAGGCTGAGGAATGTGGTCTCTTGAACCCGGAGGCGACAATTGACTATAGGCATGGTGGTCTCCGCCGTGAGCCTGCTCGTGGTAGTATTCGTATTGGTGCGTTGGCAGCAATTCTTCTGTGGCAGTCATCGTCGAGCGAGGTTTGGCAACTTGCTGAATTGTAGAAGATTGGCTGTGGTAGCTCATAAAACGCCACAGATGAAGGCCAAGTTGCAAATAATGGAGGTTTAAACGTAGTGTAAGACGCGGGTGTGGTGTAGAGCAGGATTTGTATATATAGACATGTTGACCATGTTTTCAAGCATGCGCATGGCCGTCATCTTGGCTAGAGACATGGTAGTTGCCATAGAACTTGATAGATACTACTTGAAGAGCTTTGACAACACTTGTCTCGCAACGGAGGTATGTTTAGAGCTGCTGAGAGCATGTCCAGTCCACATCATGGATCAAGAGTAAGCACTGCCGTAAATGAATGTTGAGGCGTAGTCTGCCTGGTGATAGAAAAGGAGAAGAGTTGAACTTGTAAGGCCTGAAATCGCCCAATCAAAGTCTTGGCGAGTTCTTTTTCCTATCTAAGAACACACACTGCTCTCGCAATGCTTCCGTTTTAGGTGAAGCGTCGGAATCTCCATATTATCATGCATTGTTGTGGGGCGAAGATCGCGATTGTTCTAATCTCTTTACATACAAGCGCATTGGTTGCCATCAGCCGAGCTCTCAGAATGCTTCCGTTTTAGGTCTGGTCCATCTACAATATGTAAAAGATCGAGTATAGATGGACACAGCAAGGAGTAATCACCGCAGCTTTTCAAATGAGCTGAGCCCCAAGTCTGCTTACTAGAACGAAGGCAGTCATCAACCACGTTGGCATGGATTAATCTCGCTATTAGATACCAGGAAAGGCGCTTTGACATACGGGTCGGTCTGCCAGATAGATGCCTATGCCACTTCCATGTTCTAAGGCCTGCTTACTGTCGTAGAAGAGATATAAATCTTCACTGGCACCCGTCCATATCTGGCAGGTATTGTTTGATATGTACGTTGGACGTCTTCATTACGCTATCTGCTAGGAACAACGCTCAGATCATCTGAGCAAATCTCATCATGTCTTTCGCAAAGCTTGGTTTCGTTTTACAATTGTTGATGCTTACGGGAGCCAATGGCAGACAGCCAGCTCCTCATCCTCCGCCCGCTCCAACGTTAAAATTCCTCTATCACCTCAATAGCACTCTTGGGGAGCCAGTCTCTTTTGGTCCAGGCCCAAGCGGCACCAAGCTATCTATCCCTATCCTGGGAGGGACTGTTGAGGGCCCTAACATCTGTGGTACGTGTTGCGATATCGAATTCTCCTGGCCATGAAACATACTGATTACCATTGTCATCAGGCAAAATCATGAACGTCGGCGCAGATTGGGGGACCATTGACGCCAACGGCACCTTTAGAGCCGACGCGCGATACCAGCTGCGGACCAACGATAGCGCAGACATCTTTATACATGTCACCGGCCCAACACAGCCAAATGGACAGGTTTTGAACCACATCACGTTTGAGACCGGCAGCGACAAGTACTTTTGGTTGAACAACATTGTTGCCGTTGGCATATCCACCCTGGGGCAGACCACAGTCGCAGTTGATGTTTGGGAGATGATCGATGAATCCTAATCAGGAAATTGAGAGGGGGGATGGATCCATCATGAGTGAGACTTGGTCGCTGGCAACCTTTCTTCAGAGAGAATAGAGCGTGGTTTTAATTATTTGTAGTTATTTGTTATGTTAAAGCCCTGCACGTCACCCATATACCGCATTATTCTCTGGATCCAAGCTGACACCAGGTCATTGTGTTTGGACTCCCTCAAGCTCCCTTTCTCCGTCTCTGATTTGGCTTGTACGGCTTGTGGTCGCCGCGACTGCGTAGCCACCTGAGTATTGATATGGCCTATATGGCTATTCAAATTGCCATCACTAGCACTGGTGTCCGACCAGATATCGAGAGTGGCGCCTGTAATATGACTCCCACGCGGCTCCTGGGACGTGCCATCCGGTTCGACGTTCAAGAAGAATGGAAGAGCACTGTTGAGACGAGGATCATCATCCGGTAGCGAGCGGAGAAGTTCGTGGTAAACCTGCGCGATGCGAAGTGGAAAGATGAAGAAGTAAGCCCCGGCTGGCCCATGTTTCGGCTGCAGTAGGAAGTCGGCGGTGCGAAGTATATCCCGCGTAGCATAATGGTCCGAGTGAGCTTCATACGGAAAGACGAGTGCATTGTTGGTTTTGAAAGAAAATGGTGGAGGCAAAATAGATGAAGAGCCATGATTGCTATCATCACCACCATTCACGTCGTTGTGCGCGAATTTGGCGTGTCTAGGAGCGTGGAGTAGTATCAGTTCGTCCATGATACCAAGATCCCTTGCGAAGCTGTGCAGAAGTAACAGGCAGCTGTGATAAAAGTTCATCTCAATAGCCTGCATTAGGCTTTTAAAATACAGCACGGTGTTGAATATCGGCCTTCCTGTCGTCTCATCCACAGATAAAATGGGGCCGCTTTGCTGCTTGTGTGGCGAACGTGTCCGGGGAAGAACAGGTATCTCGGAGCAACAGTTGGGCTGCTCCAATTCCCATCGCCAACGCACATCGAGCAGTTTAGTATAGAGATGTATGACTCGTTCCCGCATGGAATCATGTAACTCTAGTTCTGCTTTCTTTGCATCTTGCTGTCTATTCTGGGAGTACGCGTCAGTAGCCGTGGTGTTTGTGGAGACTCGCTCCAACTCTCGAAGCCTTTTGTCATCATCTAGAAGGCCGGGGATGCAACAGATGATGTCTATAAAGTGACCACGGAAAGATTTGCGGCCGGGGTCGTAGCTCCAGGGCACTTGTTGCCAGCATGGCTCTTCCAAAAACGTCCTTTGCGACTCATCCATATGTAGGACCATCTAAGCGGGCGATAGTTAGTTAAAGCATGTTCAGAAATCGTCATTTCTAAATGCAAAACATTGATGAAGTCAAGACATAGTTGTTGTGCTTACGATGTGTGCCCTCGCCTGCTCAAAAGCTTGTCTCATGGCTGCATGACGAAATGCTCCTGGGCCGCATAATTCGATCAGGGCGGCCAATCCGCGAACGTGCTGCTTCCATGCATCCCTAGTTGAGCCTGCAACCCACTGCCTCGTTTTGTTAACACGCGCAATTAGCAAACAGACATTGATCTCTTTGAGCGGAATGAAACATCGCACTGGTGGCACACAACGAACCTCGAACAGAGTCATGTTCATGATTGCCACGAGCAGCGATGCATCAGCAGCCACTGCCGACTCCACTATACCGTATCCATGAGCTAGCTGAGTTCGAAGCTGCTGTAGCGCCATGCCAAACAGCTTTGTCGCCTGGTATACGCTCAGAGCATTCTGGGTAAGGCGTCCATGCAGGATCAGCGCCGCAGCTTCGATGGAAATCTCCAGATATGGAGGACACTTGTCAGAGTTGTAGTGGCTAATTTGGCTGAGACGTTGCCCCAAGCCCTGCGCTGTTAGAAGCTGATGGATGAAGCGGCGAGCTTGCTCAGAGATGAGCGTCTGGCTGGTGCCGGCAGCAAGGCCATTGATGCTAGGCGATGAAGAAGAGAGGCTGCGGGAAGCAGGCTGCTCTGAAGGGTTGGCAGGAAATGCACTCGTTGATTCCAACGACGACGAATGGCTTAAAGGTCTGAGTGGGTCATTGCTCAGGGAACTCGAGGACATGACAAGCCTTCGGTGTGCCACGCTTGGCGTTGCGTTGATGAAAATAACGGGACGCTCATAGCCTTGGCACGTAAAGCCGGCTCTCTCACAGCGACTGCAGGATGGACGACGCTCATCTGGAGTTGTGCTCAGTCAACAAGAATGTTTTTGAGGATTGACAGGGGTTAACAATAGTACGCACCGCAGCGGACATGGCGAGACTTGCAAGTACCACAGGCCTTGCTGCGCCCTCCAACGCCAACCATTGCGAAATGACCTTCAAAGCACCTATTATAGAATGAAGGACATACTATCTTGCTGCCTCTCACTGGAAAGTATCTCTGGACCGATTGCGAGTTGTCTGTGATAAGCAAGAGTTAAACCCCCTGAGAGTCGGGTAACAGTCCCACATTTATCAGCATGTAAGCAGAGCGAATGCCCGCCGCCTTAAGCTGCCCCGGACACATTGTTTTATTCCCATTCTCAAGTCATCTTGTCCTTCCCTTTCCTATGTTAGCCTTTCCAAGTTATCCCACTAAGACGCTCGCCGCCGTCTAATCCTCCACCTACAGTTAAGCCAGAGCTGACATCGGCCATTCTGATTTATTTAAATTGACAGAAGCAATCGAAGCTTATCCAATGGGGATTTAATTGGTCGGATAGGAAGGTGGATTGTTTAGATTCTCTCCCATATCAAAGTGTGTGCCCACCGCTTTAGCTTTGATGTGTTGCTCGCAAATTCAGGTATTCATTCTGCCTGATATAAATTTTTAGAAACATGTGAGCGTAATGCCTGCTATTAGCACTGCAGAGATTCGAGTCGGGATACCGATGCCATGATATTAATATACTAGCTACCTCTACCTGCACGTCCCTGCTCTGCCTTTACACAATACTAGCTGTTGAGTAAACAACCTTTACACACCCCCTTGAACACAATATTCTGTACTTGGCCACATTCGAATAAACAAGGATTGCGGGGCGCAGAAGATTCAAAACGATAGCTTCTATCTAGACCAGCACAAGAATCGAAACTAAATGCCTGAATCGTCCTCGATGACGCTGTTGTCCGAGGTATAAGACTTCCAGGCGGTGCATGTCGAATTCAGTTCATCGTAGTCAAGGAGGTCAGCAATCTCTGACTCGCGCACTATCCATTGGAGGGCGAAACCCTCGCTCGTGTGCCAACCGATGTGGCAGTGCATGAGCCACGCTCCTGGATTGTCCGTCTCAAAGGCAAGCACAAGGTAGCCCGACGCCGGTAGCATGGCGACGTCGCGGCGCGGAGGATTGTCCGTGTTGAGCGTCACGCTGTCGCTATAGGTGCCCGTACCCTGGGCCAAGACGTAGAAATCGAAGCCATGCAAGTGGACTGGGTGTGGCACTCCGATTGCCGTGCTTATGACAACATAAACCCATTCGTTGGCGTTGGGCAACGAGACAACTGCGTTGGACGTGTTGAAGGTGGTGACACCGTTGTACACCTGCAGTAAGCTTGGATCCTCCCAGTCAACTACCATGGTAGTACTATTCAAGTACCATTTGAATAGATTGTTACTGTTCTTGCCCAAGGTTACTACTTCGCCCACGGTTGTTGTCCCGCTCGAAACTGATTTGGAGACATATGGCACTAGATTAGACGCATCTTCGTCCTCGCAGCTATCTGTATACGAGTAGCCCGTCGTCGTAGGTGTGCCTGCACTGCTGCCGTAGTACACGATGCCCCTGATGTCATCCAAGTTGTCGTTGGACGAACAGGCACTCTGGGGGATGGCCCGCATCCAGAAGTTATCGGCGACAGAGGACTGATTGGCTGTGATTATGACATCGTAGCGTTGTCCTATGGGGGGAACTATGTTAGTAGAGTTTCTTCACCTAGAATATGGCAGTCGAGAGTACATACCAATTGCAATATTCAAGACGCTTGTATTGAAAGGCGTAATAGGAACGAGATCATTGGAAATCACTTGCATGGTGTGATTGTCAATAGAAAACTTGAAGTGCGTATCGATGGCACCATTGACTAGACGCAGTCTATACGTTTTTCCCTCCGTAAAGGACGTGTTGAACCGGTGGCCGGCATCATCGTATACGTTGGTGCCATTGATGAGGCCCGTCGTCAATGTAGGAGGGCCGTTTGTCTCCGCTGATTGGTACAGCTCGTCAGCGGTCTGGTGACTCCAGTCGTTGAGGAATAGAACGCCTAAATCCTCGTCATAGTTGGCAGTAGCCGGGCCGTTGATAAGAATGCCTCCAAAGACACCTTCCCATGCTTGCAATCCAAAGTGGGAGTGGTACCATGTGGTTCCATATTGAGTGGCCTTCCAGGTATAGGTAATGCTGCTACCAGGAGGGGTGGGGCATTGAGTAATGCTAACCACTCCATCATTTTGGTTTGTATAATTCTGGCGGATGCCATGAAAGTGGAGGCTGGTGCCGTTGGTACTCGTCGAGAGTGCATTGCTGACGTGGACCACCACAGTATCACCCCAATCGGCAATGAGTGTAGGGCCGGGAATACTGCCATTGAGTGCCTGCGCGTAGCGTGAGACGCCATCTGGAGCTACTGTCACATCTGTAAGCTCGAGCCAATACTCTCGAGTTACGCCAGTGTCAGGAGCTTCATTGTAGTAGTCTGTCGAGATATCAAAGTCACACCACTCATTACGAGTGGTAGCGGTATTGCCCGAGCACGAAGATCGAGGGTAGAGGTCGGAAGCCGCAGCTCTATCAAGTGAAGGAAACGCATACACAGCTCCAGAAATGAGTGATGCCACAAGGAGAGGAGGCCACATCATGATGGATAGGCTTATTAGCAAACGAATGAAATTGTGATGAGCTTGGAGCTGTGGCAATAAGGAATGAGTTGAAAAGATCTGTAGTTGAGATTGATGAATGAAAATGAGAAGTTTTTGATGAGATTGAATCAAGGCATGGCACACTTCTTATACTCGGTCTTGGCCTTGCTAAACTTGTATGCCACATAGTCTCTTATTATTCTGTAGCCTGGAAGTATCTCCTATAACTCCTAAACACCATGGTGTTTATTCAATCAACTATTTCGCTATATGCCGTCTATATTCTGCATAGCCCAGCACCCCACCGTAGCCAGGAGAAGCCTACGCAATTGTTATCTAAATCAGGATCTACCGGGGGTATGAAGACCTCTTGGTATCAATAACCCCTCGATGGCAAGGCAGATTATGTAGTATGGTGATCTATACTATCAATGCATTCATACAGAAGACGTCCTGAGGGGTTTGCAGTTGCGTAATTGGTTGCGTAATCGGCTGTCCTTTGTGAACAAAATGGGTAGTAGATACGAGATTTTGTGATCACAAGTATGATACGAAGTATTCTAATCTACGGCTTTTCATCGAAAGTCGGGCAGTTCATGTGCGCGAGTCAGAAGCGCGGCACGGCACAGCACAGCACTGCCTTGATATAAAGCTGCTCTTACTCAATTAGGTAGACTGAAACTAAACAATAGGGCATAGTTTCCGAGCTAGGGATGACGTGGCTTTGAACATGCATCTTTTTGGTTAAAGATCTCCTGATTTACAGAGTAGAAAACTCTCTCTATGCATGCCAGCTACTAGGTTGTTCGGTATGTGGGGGATACATATACGCGTAATCCCCTGCACACCGACTGCACGCAGGGTCGAACAGAATCAGTAGCATGTATCCTGAAGCATTATACCACAATGAAAGTCTCACACGAAGGTGTTGGATCAAAAAGATTGGCTGTAAAGATTTTAAAAATCGAAAAAAGAAGCTGATTCTACATGAGTTTATTAATGGATGTAATAATATGTTCTTAGGGATTGAGAGTGTAACTACGACTTGACCAAGTTGGTGATTTGAGAAAATTTGTTATTCTTCTGATTAAGAAAGATATGCAGTTACATAATCCAGTTACTATGAATCATGATAGATGTTTCCTATGCTATTTTTGTTGAAACTCCGCCTTGCAATTGGGATAAAAATTTATCCTCTCAAAATTGCATAGCATACCTTCGCCGTACATTGACGCGTGGCCTATAACGCACAGGGCAGATTATAGAAAGGGAATAGTGAACTTATCTAAGTTGAGAGTATCATGCATGAAATGAAAATTAAATCTTAAATTCTCTAGAGGCGCTCTCTGTCTCACCATAGATGGATGAGAAGAAAGCCATTTAGAAACGTTGTAACTTTTCTTTTACTTGTTCAACTTTGCTAGATTTTATGGAGATGATGCCTCTCCTACGTTATCTTTAAATGGTAACATAGTTTGGCTAATGAGGCTGATGTCTACCGGTACCATTGGTATTAACCCTGCTGTTGTGTTTGCTACTCTCATGAGCCGATATACATTGATTCTCAACTTTGCTATCTTCGCTGTGAGTTTGCCCACTTTTCTGTCTGGGCGCCCTCCCCCTGCATCTATGGAGCAAATAAGCATCAGGGGATCTCTTAGGAGCATAGAGCCAAGCCACTAAAGTGCGAATGCGTAGAGTAAGCAGGTTGTCGGGACGAATGATGCGACTAGCAGAGGCTCTTGCTGCGGCAACTTACGAGAATATTGAAAATTGATTAGGATAGCCCCCAAGCTCAGGATCATAGGCCTATAGCTGATGGAATACATATTGTTTCAACTTAGCTTCGCGCTGGGACATAACCTATAGAGTTATGATGAATGGAAAAACCTCGTCACTTTTCTTATCGCCGTATAAATAGTCTCTATAACTGTCATCAGGTCATAATATGTCTACAACAAAGAAGTATAAGTCCAACACCGCTGTTTGGCTTGAAACTTGGGCCAGCGACACTCATCGAACATTCGAAACTAGAAAAATAAAAATGAATAAGTATTTAGTATTGTATCTGGATTACTTCTGGCCAGTTATTGATTTTTTCTTCTCGCTTTCTTTAGCCCGTGAGGAGTTAGGCTTCGACACTAGAAGCATGTCGAAAGAATTGACTGAATCCAGTTTGTAGAGAGAGTTGGTTCAAATGTCGTAAATCTACTAGGTGAAGACCATCCCCACTATACCACCCATATGGGCTAAATTTAGTACGAGCGCTAAAGCCAAAACAACAAAGTGTCAGAATCTCCCCGCGAGTTCTCAGGCGACAAATCTACAAGCAACAACATTGCGGAGTTAAGTAGTGTTACAAAGTCTGCTTGGCACTCAATGCATTGATGTTGCGAAAGGATGAGTACTTCTAGCCCATCAGCAGATGCCTCTTCTGGACAATCGACAGTTGGAGCCGTGAAGCGTTC